CATATCCGGCCCATGTCACTTCTGGCCTCCTCACCCATAATAGAATCCTTCAATCCTCTGATACCAATAGTTAATTAAACTACAACTCGGGAATCCATAATGTGGGCCCCTAATAATATCCCAACTAACATAACTGAACTGAAAAAAAAACTAATAACTAAACCATGTAGAAGAGTCCTACGTAGAGTCGGAAGAGTGAATGACTGTCTCTGATCGGCACAAACAATCTCTAAGACTGGAACTGACGAACACCTGAAAAAATAATGGTGGGTCAGGCCCACATACAAGTTCTAATCTACTACATCCCAAACAGAGACCCGATACACATACACATCATAATTAATTCAATAATAACTAAATAGTCCATATAAAGATATATACACACTAAAGGAACCTCACTAGACTATAGAGTTGTCTCAACCTGAATAGTAGGCAACATGCAAAAACGCACATATAGTGGGCATGAGTACTTAGACCTACCAGCGTACACAACTACACTATATCTAGCTACACATCCCTAGCAATATACGCACCCTAACTACTGATCTTGAGACTCAAACTCATATCGTGGCGCATAATTATATGTGTAAAAATTCGTCCTAATCCAACCATCAAAAATAAACTATCCAATTATTATTTTAATAAAATGTCATCCAATTATTCCATTGACCTGACACGAATAAGTAGGACTTAACACTGTGGTTAATCCGTTCTCTTATTAAAAATAGGTAGGACTTAACTCGTAAGTTAATCCGTCCCTAATATGCCCCCATCCCATAATGGTGCATTAATCCATAACATATCTAAATAACAGTTTCCAATCCAAGGATAATGTAAATATTTTTTTTACATTTAATAAACCAAATAAATATGATATAAATCTTATACACATCTTTTGCATTTACTTGAGCAAAAATATCAATTCTAAGTAGCATGCATTTAATTTACATCACAAGACATTAACATGCATCTAAACTAAATTGTACATCTCCATGTTCTGATTAAATTAATTTAAATCTAACAATTAATTAAAATAATTTAATCCAACAATATTTAATTAATTTATCCTTTTAAAATTAATTAAATTCCATACTTAGCATGTAAATTTAAATCATGCATTTCAATCTTTAATGAATCTATTTAAATTAGATAAATATTTAATGCAGATCCATCAGGAAAAAAATAATAATAAAATAAATATTAATTTAATATTCCAGCATTAAATAGATTACTATTAAAAATATTTAATGCAAAAAAATACTATCCAATCAAAACAGAACAACAACCATATATAGAACAATTTAAAGAATGATTTAAATAATTAATCCTATCCTATTAAATCCATTGGATTTCTTTTCGTTCAACGTGCATAATGTATAAAAAAAAAAACGAGCTATTTAAATTTCTCTGAGCCATTAGTTTCCATGGTCAAAACGTATTGTTGCAATATTGATGATCTGATTGTTTCAATAAGCCATTATTTGTTTTTTTTTTTTCCTTTTCCTCGTTCGGCGTGTAAGCAAAACAAATCATAAACTTCGTATAAGTTATATCACAAACTGTATCATGTAAAAGTATGCTTAAAACAATATATAATAATATGCACACCACCAAACAATTTTGACTTAAAAAACTAATTAAACACAATTATTAAAACACCTAACATATTAAAACACATTAAAAAAAAACTTAATTTATTAAAATATAAAATCACGAACCCATTATTAAAACACATGAACTTTAATTTCTAAATTAATTCATGTAATTAAATCTGACTAATTTATTTAAAGAACCTAGAATTAATTTAGCATGCATAGGGTATGAATCAAAGGAGAAGAGAATAATTAAAACTTGCCTTTACAGATTTGATAAAAAAAACCCTAGCCTCCTTCTTCCTTTTTCTCTTCATTCCTCTTCCTTATTTCTCTCTCTAAAATATAGTACGTGATATATTTTCTAACCTCTTTCACAACTTTATAGTTATATATTTATAGGCAGCTAAAATAACCCTAATTATTTTCCCATTCCAAGACAAACTAAAATAAAATAAAAATAAAATAAAATAAAATTTGAATACTAAAAAGTAACTTAAATATATGTTACGTATAATCTATGTGTACTCCTTGTTATATATAATATATAAATATATATCAGATTATTATTTAAGGACTTTCCTTATATATATTTATTTATTAAATATACATATACATGGGTAATTATCCGTACCCATTAAACCCCTTATCCAAGTAGTCCATGGAGCCCAATTGATTGGTCAATTACTACTATCCATATCCAATTCCTTAAAAATAAAATAAATAAAATAAAAATAAAAATAAAACAATTAAATTCCTAAATAAATACACATTATCACATACAATTCAATTTAAACAAATAATTAAATCAATTAAACAAGTAAACAATTAGCCAAGAAAACAACTAAATAATTAAATGCAATTTAAACTATTAAAATAATACCGAGACTATCCTTTTTAAATTAGGGGTATTACAAGAAGAGAGTCCCAACAATCACGAATACGAACCGTCTACTGTACTTCAAAATTTGTATACTCTAATTCCCTTTAAAATAGGGACCGTTTCTCAATTTAGGAAGGAATTGGGGGCAAAGTGTGGAGGGAAAAATCCCTCATCCAATAGAAACATGCCATGTCAAGACGTAGGGACCATAGGAGAAAGTTTTTGACTAGTCATCAAAAGTCCAAGGTCCAGCATCGAGGCCCAGGATACGTATGGCAGATATTCGGTCCAGTAGGGGAATACTGAGCCTGATACCGTATATTGGTCCATCATCATGCAAACAACCTGATCCATGATCAGGAAGAATCCAACACTATATGGTATCATCTTGAGGGACACGCAATGCGAGTCCTAGTCCAATTTGACCTTTTTAATTCATTACAAATAGAGGCATAAACCTCCCAATAAAGATATCTAGTCATTAAACAATTCAATCTCTTTGAATATTATCTTCCATTTTTGAAGCGTATTGTAATTAAGGTTCTTTGACTTTTCTAAGTTAGACAATTTTTTTGCAGTTACACACCTTCATCTCATTGAAAATGCTTCTGTTTCATGTTGTTTGTCATGTGGACTCAGATGCCATTTTGATTGCCTTTCATAAGGGGAAGTTCCTCATTCTCATGGTGGGATCTAAGGCTCATTTAGGTGTCATTTTGGTGCCTTGAGTTTTGGTTTTGCTTAGGTTCAAGTTGGGGGTGAAATAGGCTCACTTTGGACTAAAATAAGAAATATGCAGAAAATAGAACTGGTTGCATTTTTTTTTTAAAACCTGTTCGTTAGTACATGCACATTTTCTGAGACAAATCAAACCTGTTACAATTTTGCTGGAACCTTTTGCACTTTATTATTCGTTTTTTTTTTTTTTTTTTTTTTTTTTTTTTTTTTTTTTTTTTTTTTTTTTTTTCGGTCGGCTTGTTTAAGGGAGTGTTTGGGTGGCCTTTTAAGGGCCTTAAAGTGGGTTTTAGGAGCGTGGAATGAGACCTAAATGGGGATTGCTGGGTGACAAGAATATACCATTTTATCGCTCTTTTAATTGAATTATTTCCATGTCCATTTAAGCCTTTTTCATAAAGAAAATGACTCTTTTTTTTATCCGATTCTTTTCTAATGACAATGAAACGTACTTTTCCATGAGATTGTTAAGTATTAAAATGACTTATTTATGTTTAATAAAGGTTGAAAATATCTTTTCCATGTATATTTTCAAGCATGATCATTCTATGAAAATGTGACTTAAAGTGCCACCTTTATTTAACTTTCTTCTTTCATTTAAGTTGTGAGGCTATGTATGACTCTTAATTGAATGAGTATTATGATTTATGATCCCACCATATATATGAGGTTAAGTGTTACAAGGGGAGCTTGTCTCACAACAGACTGGGATGGGAAAATGATTGGATATAAATGAGTGGGTATGCAGCACTACCCAATAGCTTAAGCTTTTGGGTAAATGGGCAAGCGCCCACCCGCTACAGTTGGTAATAGAGTCAGATCCAGTTCTTGATTCGGTGTCATGCCAAGTGTCCGGCTCGGAGGGCGTCTGGGTCTTCTTCCCAGGTAGGCAGAGTTGCCCGAGCTGCAACGACGACGTTGCGAGTTCAGGTGGGGGAGAATGTTACAAAGGAGAGCTTATCCGACATCGGATCTAGATAAAAAAATGATTGAGTATAAATGGGTGGGCGCGTATGACGCACTATCCAATAGCTTAAACTTTTAGGTAAATAGGTAAGCGTCCACTCGTTACATTAAGGACCTCGTTGACAAATAGGTTGGCGGGTAGAGTTTCGCTTTCGCACTTGGAGACTCGGGTTTAGGGTTCAGATTACCTTTCTATTCACTAATGTGCCGGGTCCTCGGGATTCAGGGCGTGACACTCTTAGCACTTTTTCATTTAGGGGATCAAATTAATTGTTGATTCAATGGCTGCTACATGGATTCTAATTGCATGTTGGTGCTTAATTGGTCATCCTTGAGAACCCCTTAAGGAGAATCCTAGAAGGAAGTTCTTGCCCCAAGAGCGTCCTGTAAACCCTAAAATAGAAACTTATATTTAGAAAGTTGTTAAGGTTACAAAAATTTGGCTTATGTGGTTGATGGTTGTTTTCAGTTCCTTCTCTACTTCAGGACTGAATAGGTCTTATTAAATGGCTTTGCCCAACCACCCTCTTCCCATTTGCATTTACGTCTGATTGAGGTATAAAATATTGGTGGAAAGAGTATAATGAGATCTGGGATGCATGGATACAACATCATGCATGATAGATATTAATAGCAAATCATGGAAATTTTAGGTGAAATTTTGGTAACTGTTATTGAGATACTAATAATCATTATTTATCTAGTTTCTGAATATGCCATAAGTGGCATATATTGCCTGGTCATTATTCAAGTATATATGCATATTTGAAACGTATATCTTGAAACAGGCACTGTACCTGTAAAATATTTTCATAACACCCCTTCATAAGTTCCAGTTATGCACATTAGAAATACTACTTTCCTGCATGGACACCACAGAGTTTGATCTATTTGTCATATTTCCTCATTCTAATTGGGAACTACAATTAATACTTCTGTACGAAAATACAATGGAGGATGGCATCCTCATGAAAGCTACGAGACAATTAACATTACTGGTTTGCATCTGCAGACTCTGAAGCCCTTGGCCGTTCTTGACTTGGACTAGTGAGCTAAATGGCTGGCACAATCTCTTGAGCTGTTTGCCCATTTGGATTCAGATCATCATACTCACACGGAGGAGTTCCCTGCTCTCCAAAGAAAACAAAGTTCCCATCTTTGTGGATGGAAAAACTAGATGGATTTGGGGGGCCAGTAGTATTGGGAGAGGCATGGAGAGAAAAGCCTGATGGACTTGGAGGGCCATCAGTCTGAGGAGATGCATGGAGAGAAAAGCTTGATGGACTTGGTGGGCAATTAGCATTCATACCATCCATACCGCGAATGCTACTTCTGTCTTGCAATTCACTTTTCCTGAAAGTATGGGAGGAGAGATCTTTTTTATCAAAGTGTCGAACCATCACTATGATCTTTCTCCATACTGAAGTTTTGGGCTCAAAGCGGCTCAAGACATGCCTATGCTCGTAAAGGAACAAAGATATATATACAATGAGAGCTGAAATTGAAGCAACTCCAGCAATGATGAAGAGGCCCCAAAAGCTGTCAGGACCAAGACTATTTGAAGAAACCAAAGTGTTCGGGTCTGGACAACTGCTTTGATCACCAAACCATTTTTTCTCAATTCCTACCATTATATCTTCCTCTGTAACATTTAAGATTGCTCTTGAAACATCAGGTACCAGAGGAGAACCTATTGGAAAGGCCTTCAAGTTGCAAAATATAAAGAAGAATTAACCCATATTTAAGGTTTCAAGCACTTATATATGAATGTGTTTGTGTTTGTGTGTGAAAGAAAGACACACAGGAAGATAATGAGAGATTACGTACAAAGCCGAAACCATCAGTCTTGTATGTAGGTTCCACCAAGGTATATTTTGAGCAGTACTTTCTAAGAAACAGCTTCATGTAGGGGATTTCATCAACAGCAGCTGCAATACCTTCCTTTCCACTACCTTTCCTGAAAAGTTCATTCAATTCCTCTAGAGTGCTATAAATCTTCAGTTGGGAGTCATCAAAGTTCATCCGTTTTAGGAGTCCCAGAACGAAGGAACCCTCTTGGTAACCCACATTCTCCCCTTTCTTTACAAGCTCATGTATATCCGTAACCGTTGGTTGGAGCTGCTGAACTGTTAACATCGATGTTAGACTTGCGGTGTAACTTTGAGTTAGAATGAGCACCACGAATACCCAAATGATTACCACAAATCTAGCCAAGTTGTTGACCACTTTCTCCCCTGTCAAAACAAATTAATTAGTGTTGAATCAACATTTAAGTGAAGTAACTATATATATATATATATATATATATATATACGGAAAGAATACGTTCAAATTATTCAGTGTTTTTGAATTAACTTGCCCTGATCATGACCTCATGAGCAGTTGTGGGTTGTGTAATTTCCGTACCAATATTGCTTTTATTAAAGCAGAGAAATCTCATATGCACCATAATGTGTGGAAGCCTTTTCTCAGCTAATTTGGTGTAACTAGTGTATCTTTTATATATAACTTCAATTAATTGCTACAAAGGCCTTTATTATATAAAACCATGCATGCATGTGTAAATTGAAGAGGGAGGAGAGACATATATATTACTATGTGCGAAAACCATGGTGGAGAAGGAGAACCAGAAGATAGTCCCAACTTGATGGGAAGGTGGCCCCCTGAAATCTTCATTTATTCGATGTTCAAGAACGTAAATCACAAAACCAATGAAAACGAAGGAACAGAAGGTTATCACCCAGAGGTCCCAAGTCAATGGCTTCAGGAACACCCAAGCATTTTTTATCTTCTTGTCTTTGATTGGTACGATCATTGATACGCCAGACTCGGTATATGGTAGAGTGAAATCCACATACAGTGACCTGTTCGCAATAATAGTAGTATCTCCTACCACAGCATCATAGTTCTGTTCATTATTGGGACAAAATTTTCACAATGAGTGCATGGTGAAAAAATTAGTAGCACTAGAATAGAATGAATGGAGTGTATGGTCTGTTTACATGAGTAACTTAATTTTCTACAGAGATCAGCTTATGCATGTGTATATATACATATATATATATATATATATATATATATATATCTATATATTTTGTGAATGGTTGAGATCTAGACAACGTACCTGTTTCTTAATTGGAATAACAGATTCCCAATTAAACACAGTTCCATAAATGACCGTAACTTTTATGCGTGCTAGTAAGAAAAATTAATTAAAGAAAACAAGTAAAGAAGAGTTACCCCAAGAAACACTTGTTGCACCATGTCGTTGTAGCTACCGGCACTCTCACCATCAGGCTTCATGAAAGGTATGTATTCATAAGGAACAGAATATGGTAGAGATGCCATAACGGCATCAAAGACATCTATGCAGAACCCTGTGACCTTTGTTGTGTTAGTTTGGTGATTTGGTTCTACTTTTACAAATTGAATAAAACCGTCTTTTACTGGAACTCCTATTTTCAACGTCTTTCCATTTGTCGGAATCACCCAACCCTTGGGAGTGGATGTAGTATCACCTGGCCATATAATAGATCCAAGATTGTTTCTCGAAGTGGAATAGGAATAAGTAGTTGCTGTGGAATTCAATTCTTTAGTGATTCCTTTTTCTGGTGTCCAGAATCCAATCCCTCTTTCCCCATTACCCATCACATTTACTATTTGAAAAGCTGATGATTGCAGCTGCCCATCAACTATATGGAAATCTCCACTAAGGCCTCTCAATTTAGTATCTAATACTGCTTTGAGAAGCATTGGACCATCTTGAGAGACTCCAAAAGTTTCAAGGTCTGTAAAATTTTCTGCAGAAATGTTTGCCTTTTGAAAGCCAAAATTAGTACTGTTGGTAGCACCAAGTACTTTCTCAGCTGCCATGGCTAGTGCAGTGGTAGCATCATAAGCCCATAGTCCAAAAACATTGAGTTTTGCATCAAGGACGTTTGGATTCTCCTGTTGGAACTTCCTTCTCCATCGAATTGTAAAATTCTCAAGCTCTTTCGTTCTTGGAATGTAAGGTTTCACACCCAACACCCCTTGCATTGAATCAATCACCGAAGCGTCCAATGAACTCAAGAGATCAGTTATTCCATCCGTCATGATCCAAACATAGCCTTCACTCATCATGCCGACCTCTTTTGCTTTGGTGAAAAGCCGAGATCCTAGAGAGGGCAACATGTGCACAATGAAGACTCTAGTGGGCATAGTCATCAACTTATAGAGCTCTGCCACAATTTGATCATCCGTGGCCCTTGGAGGGATTACACTCCGGTAGGGCACACGAGTGTCAATCTCTTGCAACTCATCAGTAAGAAATGGTATGATCCCCTCTCCAAACTCATTGTCTACATAAATGGGCACCGCTCTTCTCCATCCGTGGGCTTTGACAATTGCACTAATGGCCTTTGCTTGAGATGAGTCATTTTGGGTAGCTCGAATAAAGTATGGAGACCGGAAGGCCGAGAGAGAAGGGCTAGTTGCTGAGAATGAAATAACGGGCACTTGAGCTTTGTCCCCAAGATCAATAACAAAGTCTGCCTGCATGGATGTTGCTGGCCCTATGATGGCTCGCACTTGCACATTTTTTAGGAGGTCCAAAGCTGCATCAAGCTAGAATAGTTAAAGCTCTGAATTAAATTAATGCATGCATGTTGTATATCGTTGAATTTGTTGATAAGATTAGAAGATATTTAAGAACGAAGAAAGGTATGTGCAATTAGTTGAATTTGGGGAAGGACTAATTCTATCAATTTAGATTTGATTAAAAAGAGAAATAAAGAGTGACCAGCAATCAATTTGCTGCTAAAGAGCAGTAGTGGTAGTAAAGGTGTTTATAAGCGCGCACACACACATGTATATATATATATATGAAAGAACCAATAGCATAACATACATTATATATGTAGCAATATGGGTGACTATCAAACAGTTAATTAATTAACTAGTCATAGTTAAAATGCTGCTCGGTTTAAAATCGCTCTACAAGGTATGATAAATTAAAGCGTGTACTTTGGTCAAATATGTAAGTAATAGTCAGATGAGGAAGAGGTGAAACTTGAACACGGGTACACCTATTCAGGAAATTGGACACTTCGTCAATTAGGCCACTAGATAATGCCCTGTAATCTACACAAACATGTTAGATATAAAAAGAGATAAAAATCCAGTTTAAATGTTTTTATCCTAAAATATCCAATTTAAATGTTGCAGCCAGAAGTAATATTCGCTCTTCCCTAATTTTTTCGGTAGGTAGTGACGAAAATTGAACCCTAAGTTACAATCAGGTCAAAGCAAACCTGTCAAAATCAAATAAGTATTATAAGTATATATTTCTCTAATGTCACAGCTGGATGAATAATTAAATGGCTGCATATAGCTAATCATACATGACAAGAAAATCAAGGAACAAATTAAACTTAAGACAATGAGAGTATGTCTTGAAAGTTTAAAAAGCAGAAGTGAAAAAATTATAATTTTTAGCATTAGTTATTTTTATAAGTGTTTTTTCATGGTTTAGTGATATTTCATCATCTTTTATGGTAGAAGGTCGATAATTCAAATCTCCACAAGATAAATTAAAAGGAATTAAAGTGACATTTTTCTGTGTGTTGTAATGTCATTATTATTATTATTATTATTATTATTATTATTATTATCTCTCCTCTGTTTAATGGTTGGAATCTCAAGCCAAGACATCTTAAGCTAATACTTTTAAAAAAAACATTTTATTTTATTTATTTTCTTTCTCCGGTAGGGTGAATAAATAAATAAATATATATATCAAAGTCGTACATGATTAATATATATATATATATATAGTATAATATAATATGACAACTAAATCACAAAATAATTTTTATTCCTAGGTCAGACGCATGCACTATTATTCTAGACAAGTGAAGCCACAAAGATTCCCTTGACTTCTGAGTACTACATACCTTTTTCTCAAATTATTTTTTACAGTTTCATTCTTCTAATTACTTATCAATAAGATATATATATATATATTCATGTGGCTCCATAATTTTATACCATATATATAATGGATAATGTAAGTATAATAATTTTGGAAAGTCAAAAATGTTTCTATATATAATTACAAGCTAAAAATTCTGAACATTACCTCGCTCGTACAGATCGTTGTCCAGTTAATGAAGCAATCCATCCTGGCCTTCATAGTCATAGGTCAAGGACTTTGATTAACAATCAATCAATTCTGATGTACAATTCACTACTAGCTGGTTAAACAGTTCAACACTTGAACATCATTGCCATTGGTGCAAATTTGAATATCGATTATAATAACCACTTCGACAAATATCAAATGTTACTCTCCTAACTCCTATCCTAGCCGGAATTAGATTAGAGCTGAGTAATACATGTATCTCATATATATATATATACCTAGCATTAAAATAAATATATAAGTTAATTAATTATAAAGTTGTTTTTATCATTTTAATAATGAAAACCGTAAATTAGTCCGTTCAATATTCAGACTCCTTGAAAAAAAAACTTGCCAGTATCAGAAAGTTTCCTGTTCTACTTCTCCAGTTAACCATGTCAATGTCACAAGGTTTATTAGACTTACAGGAGCCACTTGGTTTGTTACATGGTAGTGGCCATGCATGATGGAAAATTATTGCTGATTATATATTTATATACAGAGTGGAGAACACAAAATTAATTAAAGGAAGATCCAAGAGAGAGTTCCAAACGTATATGCTAGCCAATTAAGAAGTAGCTGTAAGTAATATTTCTAAAAATCTTAAGAAACCAATTCACAATATATTATAATGACAGCTAAAAAAGATTAAGGCCAGCCAATAAATTAATTAGTCTCACCATCATGACCTTATTTTTCATGATGGGTGTTAATTAGAATTAAGATTTTCAATAATTAAACCCATTAATATTTAATTACTTAATGGTCAGTTCCATCAACAGATTAATTGATGGACATGAATCCATAACACACACACAGAAAGAGATGGAGTATATATGGTGGTACAACGTACCTGCTGAAGCTGCACCAACAACATCCTCCTTGGAGTCCCTGGTGTTCAACACCAGCCTAGTCTTGTAGTAATTAGCTTCATGAGATGTGTCGTCATACATGTCCGAGAGGGCCATCGAGATACAGCTCAACCCCATCTGTCCAATCCATCTATTCAAGTCAAGAACAACTCCCACGTTCACATTCACTGGAATACTTGTTCTGCTCTCAACCGTTGATGCTAATATTTCTGTAAACAGAAGCGCTGATGAGAGAGAGAACAAATGAGACAAAACCAGTTGGGTTGGTCTTCTCCTCATCTTAAACACAAATATTAATTGGCACCTGCTTATTTATTTGATCCAGATTCATTGTTTTGTTATTATAAGATTCATCCATTTATATACGATCTTATATATTTAATTATTTATAGGCCTAGTGTATGATTTCAAAGGTACGTACAAAAGAAAAGCCTACTTATTATAAATAAAGTTTTGCTTATGTGACATAGTTGGGTACTTGGGTGTATGAAATTTCATAAAATTGCAGGCAGCAAGTCAAACATTGGGGCAGGACGTGTATATATATATACATATATATATAGTTGAAGCAGACCATGTTTTACATCATTATTTGACTATTTTGATCGATCTGTATAGTTGAATTACAATGGTAGCATTAATTATTCAATGGATAGAAGTTCAATTTCATTGACGAAGTGACCAAATTTCATACAATCAAATCAAACTTAAAAGAGATCGATCCTAATGAATTAATATTTCTCAATCTATGGTATTTCTGTAATGAAATAGACCCGCTCCTGATGATTTTATCTTTACAAAATTCATGATATCTAGGTGCATTAATTAATTAATACTCAACTGGTTGATTTTCCTCTTAATTGCTAGTACAGATTTAAACATCAAAGATCACTCTAAAATTTATGACTTAAGAGAAGTAAAACACAATAATCTAATGTTAGTTAAAATATCCAAAAACTCAAATGTGTGTACGTGTCAGCTAGCTTATCTTCACATGTGATGTATGTATCATATATGTATGAATATATATATAATAATTATTAATTATTAATTCAAATAAAAACTCTCTGACCTAATGTATAAGTGTTGCTTAATTATAGGAGCGGATCCAGTGGGCAGAATTAGATGCCCACATTTAAAGATATCATTTGTCCTCTCTCTCTATATTAATACTGCTTAATTACACCCCCCCACAACGCAACGCGCTTCTCCCTCAGTGAAGTTTCCTTTTATTGTGAATGTGTGTGTGTGTGTGTGAGAGAGACAATGTCAACATATTCCAATTAAGTCTACCATTGGGCATTCAATTGTTGGATTTGAAATGAAAAGTCAGTCCCTTTGATTCCACACCACACCGCGCGAATATGTGTGACGGATAGAGAGAGAGAGGGAGAGAGAGAGAATTAGAGAGCGACTATGTCAACATATACCAATTAAGTCTACCATTGGTAGTTCTCCCGCATCCAACATGGGCTTCAATTTTATAATTACTTGTTTGTAATTTTGTCTACGGTCTATTAGTTGACTTCCAATGATTCACTACCTCGTAGTGTATTAATTCTTAACTCATTAATTATTGCAAATAAAAATGAAATTATAATTAAAGCCTAATATGTCTCGTCTATGATGAGAGCAAGTAAAATGAGAACTAGAGATCTGGGTGGTTGTTGTGGAGACAATATATCACTATCAATTCCACCCAATGTTCAAGTGACGTAGAACACAACGCAGATGATTTAGAAGTTTATTTAGATTGTTAAAGGTAAACAACAGTTTTTTTTGGAATAATTTCGACAAGTTCTTGACTTTAAAAGACCCCAGTTTAATAAAAAATGGACTAACTCCCAAAAATCAACAATCTTTTTTTTTTTTTTTTCTAATTGGTTGGTAGTCGCATACACTTGTCTCTTTTAAGATTTGAACTCATGACCTCCCTTTGGAAAGTAAGAGGCTGATATCACTAGGCCACTAATCCGTTGATAAAAAAAAAAAAAAAATCAACAACTTTGCTGTTGAGGTAGGGTGCTCTTCGGTATAATTCAATTGTTTTAGGATTCGGAAATTGTGTTTTAATAATTTTGAATATTTTGGAATTTTTATTAATATTCTAAACGGATTCAAATTACCCTCCTTTTTGGTAATTAATAGTTTTTAGTAATTAGATTTCTCATCTCCGGCAGTTATGTATATATATATATATTTTTTTGTTAATTTGAAGTGTCATAATAAATTTACACAAAATTTTGAATTATTTATTTTTAGCCTAGCATTTGTTTTATATCTTTTGTGTAAAAATATATCCCCCAATAATAACCAACGAGTGTCATGTCATGCCTGAACCCCACAGTTAATGAAATGAGAAAGAGAGGGGAAATGAAATATGGTGATGTTGTTGTGTAAAAAAATTATATAAAAATATATAATAATTTTACACAATAATGTGACAGTTACGTGGCAGTGTATTTTACATAAGAATATTTTAACAGACTATTTTAACAGACTGTTAGAGATATTGTTACGATTTTTTTATTTATAAATACGTGTATAACAGAGCGCATTATTCAATCAGTTACCAATAAATATATCACAATTCTCTACAAATTTCTTCAACTTGGTGGATTTAGGAAACTTCAATTGAATTAGTTAAGCAAGAGTTCTCACTCCCATTGAATGAACTATAAGCCAATAATATATACGGAAGCTGTAAAGCACCTGAATTTTTTATTCATAATAAATTTCCATAACAAGGCTATCATATACCAAAATTTTGGTTACACAAAAACTAGTAATGAAGTGGTTAAAAGATTGGTATGTCACAGGCACAAATAGGAATGTGGCAAACCAAGAATAATACATCTAAGATAACTTTAAACTCCACTTTCTACCCACATCAAAAAGGTATATTAGTAAACACTAAAATCAATTCAACCGTCTAGTTTGTATTCAACAAAAAAATGTAAAAGTTCCAAGGTTGTCCTACTTTTCGTTCGATAATTACATTCAGAAGAAAAATTACTATGAGCCCACAATAGTTTTCCATCGGAGTGCGTCACCTACATAAGATCAAGCCTAGTATGACAGGGTTTGAGGTAACAACATTTTGGCTCTTATACAACGTAAATTCCATATGCTCTAAAATGTTAAACTTCTGGATAGTGTAACTAAGTGTATATATCCTCTAGCAGTAATCATATTCAGATCAATTTTTGGTTTGCACGCAACACACCCCAAAAAGTTCACAACAAAGCAGCCTGGTGACATTCAAACCAAAAATAAGAACAAATGTACACAATAAATACCTTAAAAATAAGAACCTGAATTAAGAATATAATTCACGTACACAAGTATAGGTGTGAATGTACATGATAAATGCCTTGATTTACAACCTCCAAAGCAAACAAAGATAGGAGTAATCAATTAAGCATAACCACCCTAGTAGCAATGTTTTCATAGCCATACCAAAACATAAGTTGACTAGAACATGGTAAACAGCCATGAAGAATTTGTTTTACAGACACAAACCCAGTTCATTCCTCTGTTGAAGCAGGATCCAACCCAGCTGAAGGGCTATCAGCATAATACTCTTGATGTTTCACATTGACGCCATACTGCTCAATTCATGGAAGGAAATAAAAAGTAGTTACAAAAAATCACTGCAAAATAATGCATAATTTAAAAGAAAGGAGTTCTGGAACCATTTAAAACAGGTACCAGAACTGCGAGCAGCCCTAATTCAATATCAACCAGGAATTTACTTGTTCTGATAATAGCAAAAGTCAAATCTCCCAACGAATGAACCCAAATGCCTTTAGATGTGTGTGTGTGTGTGTATATATTTCAACCAAAAAACAAAACAAGAATCACCACAGAAAAGCAAACACGGCACACAAAGAACAGAAATATTTACATGGTTCGGTGTAACCTACTACACGGTGAAGATCCGACTAAAGATTTCATTATGCGAAACCCAAGAAATCAGTTCTCTGTCAACACCCTCAAATAACCCAAGGAATCGTATGTCAAACCCTTCATAGCTCTGATTTTATGCATGGCCAGGTGAACCCTTGTTGTCCTTCCTCACCAAATTCACAATATCTGGTAACCCTCCCACAAACCCCAATGGGTCAAACCATAGTTGAGGCACTCCACAGGTATGATAAATTTGAATCATCCAACCCTCTGCCACTGGAAGAAGAAATCCCCTGGTACTCCTCAGAACCCACTACCCTCCCTAGGGGTGCACAAAAAACCGGTGAAACCGGTAAACCAAACTGAACCGGACAGTTCGGTCTGGTTTTTCCACGGTTCGGTCAGGTCCCGGTTCCACATTTTTGGAAACGTAATTTTATGGTTCGTTTCTAGTTTGGGTCCTTCAGCACCAAAACAAACCAAACCTCAGTGCTAACGCAGCGCCATAGAGCACCACCTCCTACTCCTTCACCGCCGTAAACTCTCAGTGCTCCTCCACCACCCCTCTCTCTCTCTCTCTCTATGGCATAAACAGTGTCACCGTCGCCGCTTATGTAATGACCTCGCAGTTTGTGTTCTTCTAAATCAATATAGGTGGTGATGAAGTGTAGGGATCGATTACACAGGCTGGTGAAGGAAGAGTTGGAAAGCCGCAATTGATGCGCTGAAGCAAACAGAAAATGACACACGTCTTCTTACAATGGTAAGCAAGACCAAAGATACTCCGATCACCGTCGGAGCCTAGAATTCTATAGGGAAATCTGGGGGAAAGCCTTAGAGAAGTATAAACTCTGATAATATCTCAAAATTATATTGATAAAGACTTGGTTCAACAGATACATAGGGCTGTCCTTTTTATAATACAAGAATTAATGACACTTATAAAAAAATAATAATAATAAGACAAGAATTAATGACACTGATAATGACTTCTACTATTCTCATAACAATTTCAGATTTCCATGTCATAATAACTACTTAAAACTTTGACTAGACACTTTCCAAGACTATTGATTGCCTCGATCCTGACTACAGTACCCTTAATGATTTGCATCAGACCCTCCTCCTTGAAGAAAACTCGCCCTTGAGTTTGATGCAATTTACCATGATCAAATAAGAATCCAAGTAACACCTTCCATCCTTTCTTTCTTCTTTTCCTTACTTGAGCAAAATACACTAATGTTACTGATAAAGAATCTGATTTTCAGACCTCTCTTCAGATATTTTGTAGATTTCCAAAACCTGCTTGAACACAAATCAGGAGCCAAGACCTGAATTAATCTGATTTTTGCATCGGAACAACACCTGATTATATGTTGTGCCAAGAATTCATCCCAAATCAGATCACAAGTATGGAATTCATGATTCCTCAACTCCAAGAATAAAGACGATTCATTTCTAACCAAATTATACAAGGAAACTTCTTCAGATGTATATTCTAAGGAACCCCTTACCATTGGAAATTCAATGGTTTTATCTTCAAAATTTTCCTCTATTTGTCTGTCGACAGACATAAGTTCTGAAATTTCTTCAACTTTGTAATCAACTTGAAATATTTGCTTTAATTTCTTCAACAGTTCCCACTTTCTCACCACAAATCCACGATATGCAGATTGAATAATGATGGCTGCTTTATCTTCTGAAATGTTGCTGGCTGCTTCTTTAGACTTCTCCTCTTCCACCTTTTTTTCCTCATATTCCTCTTTATAGTTGTCAAATTCTGGAAGTGATGAAGTTGAATGTACCCCCATGATCTCATCTTTTTCATCTACACTTTCAAAAGATTCATCAAAAGTTGAGTAGGTGTCAACATAAATCCCAAGATCTTCCTCATTAAAGAATTGTTTTTCGTAAATGTCGTGGTTGTTTACATCTCTTGGGAACTTGGCAGACTTGTATCTTGAACCTTTGCAAGTGTAGGACCAAAATTCAGGCTCTTGGGCATGGTTCACCACTGCGGCCCAAGTGTTTTGTGGCTGTGCTGTCCAATATTCGCATTGATATACATCCATTTGTCTCCTAATGTCCAGATTAAGAGGAGAAATGATTCCGTATTGTTCTAAGATAGTGTTCAATCGAGAAATTTGATGTTACAGATTTTTTTGCAGATTTTGAACATCTTCTTTTGTGGCTATTGTGCTTCCTTGCTTAGCCATAGATCCGCAGTAATCACAGATCTGAAGGAGAGGCTCTGATACCGCTTGAAGCAAACAGAAAATGACACAAGTCTTCTTACAACATTAAGCAAAACCATATCTAATTACTACTTAAAACTTTGACTAGACACTTTCCAAGACTATTGACTGCCTCAATCCTGACTAAAGTACCCTTAATGATTTGCATCATGCGCAAACTGCCGTGCAAGTTTCAAACGTTGGTGTGCGACGCTGTTGGATCTACCGTTGTGGTCTCAATAATAATGCATGATAAGATTGTTGCAAACTGTGGTGGAACTGAACTGAACTAAACCGAACCAATTCCTCACGATTCGGTTTGGTTTGGTTCCAGTTTGTGTGGAACCATTAGGACCGGTTTGGTTCCAAAATACTCCCAAACCAATCCTAATCAAACCGTGTGCAGCCCTAACCCTCCCCCATCTCCTCATAAAATGCCCCTAGTCCCTCTCCTCTAATTTATCCCCATTGTGCCACTCCCACAACATCTGACATAATCACCCTATGCTTCTCTAAGTCATTCCTCCACCCAATATTCCATGAGATTAGACAAAAGGTTCATGAGGAAACACTAGCCATACCCCTCCCCTTCTTCCCTGAATAAAACAAAACTTCCATATCACCTCCCTTGGACCATCATAGTTAAGAAAGAAATAAGATTTTTCAACACTCTCTCCCTTCTATAGAAAGATCCTCCCCTATTCCTTCTAGCCTCCAGCTTAGCTTGCATATCTCAGTTTTCTGTCAATACTCTCAAACCACCCAAGGAATCTTTGACAAACTCTTCATAGGTTACACCGAGGAAAGAGCTAAAAGCTCTGATTTACACACGCCCAGGTGAACGGGTATGATAAATCTGAATCATCCACTCCAATAATACTGGAAGCAGAAATCCCCTGGTACTCCTCAGAATCCACTGCCCTCCCCCATATCCCCCTAAAATGCCCTTGTGCAGCTTCATCAATTTCAAGGACCCATCAGTGCCCCTCAAACCCAATCCCAGAATTCCCCACCACCTGACACATGGTCACCTGATTTAGAATAACAATAAGAAGAAGATAGGCAACAGTTCAGTAGGGTTCAAGTCATGGACAAGGTATTTGGTGGACGGGAGCTTACCCTAATGGGCAGGCTATGGAGAGGAAAGCATAAGAAAGAGGAGAAGAAGGAAAGAGGATCATATTCTCTCAAACAAAGCTTTAAGGCAACAACTTCTCAAAATCATATTCATGGCGAGATGATTACAGGACTTAAAAAATAAAAACCCAATGAAAAATAATCCTTACCCTTTAAAACAAGGGAGAATTACAAATTACACCTACTTTTAAAATTTAAAGACTAAAAAGTCCTAAGAAATTTATAAGGACCAAAAAAACCTAGTTTTAATAAATATTTGCAATCAAGAAATATATGTATATATATATTTTTTTGGACATTCCAAAAAAAATATAGTTTATTTTTTTGGTAAATAAAATATTTGCAATCAAATTCGGAATTCTATTAACAATTTTATTGTCCAATATTGCCCTTTCTGGTTGAAATGCCTCCAATATCATTTTCTTATTAAAATATTGACTATACTCTTTACCTCTAATTTGTACTTAGTATCAATTTACAATAACAACAAAAAAGCACATAGTTTTAATTGCCAATTTTGTAAAATATTTACCAAGTAATATAAATTTTACCTATTGTAATAAAAATAACAAATTCAAAAGATTCCACTATATATATATATATATATTTGCATGAAATACATTCATGCACAGTTAATGATTTAGGTGTTGTTTGATAATACTGAAAAATTAAGCACTAAATTTTTTACCAACAAGCCAGTGGCCTAGTGGTACCAGGCTCCTACTTCTCAAAGGGAGGTCAGGGGTTTGAGCCTCGGTGGAGACATGTATGTGTGACTACCAATTAAGAAAAAAAAAAATAAGTACGAAAATTTTTTAGAGTTGAATATTAAGCGCTGAAGTTTTTAAGTGAGTTAAATATAAATATTTTTTTATTATTTTTTAATTTTAAGCGTTCAGCATCTGAAGTTCCGGTCACTTGAAATTTTACCCCAATTTAAATGGCACTTTCCTTTTTAAGTAATATTCAGATTGCGTTATCATACACAGTTAATTGGATAAACACTTAATCTGTTCAGAATTAAATGCATTATGATAAACACTTAAAAGTATATTAGAAAGCATTCAAAAGGGAAACGCATACCAAAAACTATACGAGGCCTGAAGCCAAAAAAAGACCCCCAAGGACCCAAGAAACCCAAAAAAATCTACAATCTCCTCTAAAGAATTACAATTTCTCTCATGACCCAACTACAGAGATTACTAATGATAAGAAATTTCAAAGCCCCAATGGAAGATTCCTCCCCGTCAACAGATCTTCTTTCCTCTCCTTCCAAACACACCACCAAATGGGGGTCGCCTTCCAAAAATTGCGAGTGTGGGCTCCCACAAAACAGCCTCTCCACGCATCGATCAAAGACCGAGGCATAACTTATTGGACGCTAAACAAACAAAAAATAAGACACCAATAATCGTGAGCCACAAGGCAATGCAAGAGGAGGTGATCTAACAACTCTGCATCCCTCTTGCGCATGCAACACCAATTGACAGTAATGTCTTCTCTTTCTCAGATTATCCATCATCAAAATCTTGCCCCAAACTACAGTCCAAACAAAAAAGGCTACTCTAAAAGGAGCCTTCATATGCCAAACCAACTTCCAACGAAAACTAGAACCATATAAGTCGGAAAGACAATAAAACAAGGAACGGACCTCAAACCTCCCATAAGGAGAGGGCACCCAAAACATGGAATCAAGGCCGTTACTGTAACAACCCTCACTCTTTCCAGACACACTATTGTCCTCTTTTGGCTCCCCTAGACCAAATACTTCCCAGGGGGTCACCCTACTACTCCAGAGCAAGCACATTTAACTTTAGAATTCTGATGGCCGTGAACCCATCAGAACTCTGTAGTTAAGAGTGCTTAACTTGGAATAGTACCAAGATGAGTGACCTCTTGGGAAGTCTGGTCCAGGGGAGCCAAAAGCGGACAATATTGTGTCTGGGTAGGGCGAGGGCCGTTACATTTACCATCCAACTCATGTCTATATAAAAGATCCAGAAGATCGTAAACATCGTCCAATTCCCAATCTTGGAAATGTTGCCGAAAACGCAAATCCCATGTAATCCTACCACTATCAAGACGATAATAGTCAGCAACCAAGGCATGTCTATCCTGGGAAAAGAACGGGACAACAGATGATCGCCACAACATAAATCTTCCCAGAACCGAATACCCCAGCCATCCTGAGCCTTGAATCTTATATGTTTAGAAAATTCATCTCAACCCTTTCGAATGAACTTCCAAACACCCACACCCCAGCTGAACTAACTGCACAAGAGGACCAACCACCTCTCTCTCCCCAAAACGACATAATAACCCCCCTCCAAAGCCGGTGTCTTTCGCCTTTGAATCTCCACAACCACATGCCTAGGAGAGCCCTATTGAAAGGGATCAACCTTCTAATATCCAAACTGCCCACTAAATAGGCCTACACACATGCTCCTAACAAACAAGATAATACTTGAACTCCTCCCCCTCACCAAAAGAAATTCCGCTGAATTCTCTTTATTTTTCCGACTACGAAGGACGGAATATGAAAGAGAGAGAGAAAGTATGTAAGGAGACTCAACAACATACTCTTCATAAGAGTTACCTTCCTACCCTTAGACAAATGCTGCTTCTTCCACCCACCCAGCCTTCTCACAAATCGCTCGATCACAGGGTCCCATCCTCCCACCCTCCTCAACGGAGCACCTAGGGGCAAACCCAGATAAGAAATAGGAAAGAAGCTAACCCCACACCCAAGAACCACAGCAAGAAAAGCGATGTCTTGAACCTCCCCCAGAGGGACAAGCGCATACTTTCCCACATTTACTTTTAGGCCAGAGACTGTGTGAAAGCAAGGCAAAACACATCTCAAATATCTTAGTTGGGTTGCATCAGCATCGTAGAAGACCAAGGTATCATCCACAAACAGCATGTGAGAGATCTCCATATGATGGGCCGCATCTCTACCCACCCTGAAGCCCTTGATAAAACCAAAGTCTACTGCCCTCCTCATCAGTTTGCAAAGCACCCCCATAACAATGATGAACAAAAACAAAGAGAGAGGATCATTATATCTTAAGCCTCATGAGCTACCAAAAAAAAAGGATGGGGACCCATTCACCAAAACGGAAAATCTAATTGATGAAATGCAAGCCTCAATACATCTCCTCCATCTCTTCCCAAAGCCCATTCTCTCCAACAGATATAGCAGGAAACTCCAACTAACATGATCATAAGCTTTCTCAATATCAAGCGTACACAAAACTCTAGGGACACCACTACTCATCCTGGAATCCACGAACTCACTGGCAATAAGAGTTGAATCCAGAATCTGCTGATCGCCAATAAAATCATTCTGGGACTCTGAGATTACTCTATCCAACACATCCCTCAATCTCAAAGCAAGGACTTTAGCTATAAGCTTATAAATACACCTCACTGAACTACTGATAGGTCTAAAAATCATTAACATCGAACGCTCCACTTTTCTTAGAGATGAGCCATAAACAATTCATAAATGCTGAATTGAGTTATGAAACATCTTATTTACATTCTTTTCACTTTTGTCCTTTATAATTTTTTTAAAACAAGTAATTTCAAGAATAAAAGGTAAGTTTATTTAAATTTAAGAGTGATATATAATAGGGTTAAGTGCATTAAACCCCCCTCAACTTTCTTCTCTTTCTCAAGAAACCCCTATGAACTATCAAAAGAACACTTAACCCCCTGAACTATTTGCTTTGTTGCAAAATGTTACTTTGCCGTCTGAAATTTAACGCCAAAAAAGACACGTCACACAGATTGGGACTAAGCAAAATTAAAAAGACAAAAATAACCTTATGACCCATTAAATTTTTTGATAAGTGGATGACCCATTAAATGAATAATATTATATAATAATATATGTCTATGACTCTATAAACGTACACATCTATATACATCCCTCTATTATATATATATATATATCACTACGCCTACCGCCCTCTCTCTCCAACCAAACCACACTCACCGTCCATGGCCACCACCTCCATCATCCATCTATAGCGCCATCGCCACCACTCTCTCTCCCCCCCAAAGTTTCTTCTTTCCTCACAACCACCTCCACCGTCCATAGCTACGCCCCCCCCCCCCCCCCCCTCTCTCCAATCCACCTCTAACTCCGGCGATGAAACAACAATGTTGCAGAGGTCGGCGTTTGGAGGGGAATCGATTGAAAACATGGCACATATTTTTGGGGCAGTTGCAATTGGGTTGGTTTGGTGATATGCAACAACAGATTTTAGGGCTTTTGATACTAAATTTGTAATGCGTCCATGGGTGACCATCGAACGCAACGCCTCAGAGAGCGATTGAGATAAAACAACAATAGTAAAGAAGTGATGGAGAAGTGGAGGAGACTAGCTGCAATTCCTAACTTGTGCAGAGCGGCGTTAGGGTTTGTTTTCTCTGATTTTGCATGAAAGTTAGGGGTGGATTGTAGAGAGAAGGAGAGGCGGTGGTGGCTTCTATGGACAGTGGAGCTTGTTGTATGAAATCTTGTTCTCTGTTAGGGGAGGGAAATTTTTTTTTTTTTTTTTTTTTCAAGTCAGCAATGATTTTATTTTATTTTTCCAAGTCAGCAAAATCATTGATAAGATGGTATGACTTGTCAAATTTTCATTAGACATGGAAATTACAATGGCCATGTCAACAACTAAAAGTGGATATCAGATGAAACTATGTAGTTTAATTAATGGTCAAAACGGTAATTTCATTTTTTAGTTAACGGCTCACTGACAGTGCGGGGTTAAGTGCAACACTTTTATACTTTAGGGGGTATTTTTTAATTTAGGGGGGTTTCTTGCAATCAGCTCATAGTTGAGGGGGGGTTTAATGCACTTAACCCTATATAATATAAAAAACAAGGGTATAACGAAGATATTATACTTCCTTTTCTTCTTTTTGGGAAACTTTTTTGTAAAAGAAAATGACATTCTAGGAAGCATGGACAAGGACACAGGTACAACATGGTGGCAATACTACAAGTCTCAAAAAAGTACGGCACGGACACGACAAGGATATGTCAAAAAGATAATAATAAAATATATTATTATATGTAGAAAAAAAATATTGCTCATTTTATCTAAGATTCTAAATTATTATGAATGTCACTAATTTAAAACTTAGGGTTAGATAGATATTGTTTTTGCTTTCTAAAACTTATAATATATCTTTCTAATTAAGTCAATATGTTTTTAAGTTATATTGAAACCCCATTTTTTCCCAAAAAATAAATAATAATAACTGCAAACTACCCATCATGTCCTAAAAGTGTCTCAAACATGTCCCCATTTTATCCATGTCGTGTCCTTGTCAGGTCCATGTGTCCCAGTCATGCCCGACTAAGAAAAGAGAATAGGACACTTATAGTAGTGTCAGACACGTGTCTTTGTCAAACCAACACCCCCATAGCACTCCTATAGGAGTGGCATGCTTCCTAGATGATATTAAAGATATTTCTACAAAAAAAAAGGGCAATGTTAAAAAATAAAAAATAAAAAAATCCAATGAAAGTTGTGAATTTACTTGAAATATTTACTAATTGTAGGAGTTAGTTCTCCTAACAAAATTTTACAAGACTACTTGGTCTTTATGATTGAAAGTACGACTAATAGGTACTTTGCCCTTAAAACATCTTAATTGGTCTTTATGTTTCTTGAACTTTAAAAGTTAAGACAACCTGCACAAGATATTCTTCATTATTTATGTTTTCCTCTTTTTATGTAGTTTATTGTAAATTGATGCTTGCAACTGTTCCCAAAATGGTTGGAATAAGGAATTGTATTTTATTCAATATAAACTACAGGAAAATATATATATATATTATGAACATTATTGCATGCCAATTTATACATCAGTTAACATAAGATCCGTACCAAAAATCTCTAACAAGAAGTACAAGCTAGATAATCATTATATTCTGAGTTTTTGTGAATGAATTGCAAAAATTTTCCACAACTCATAAACTAAAATTCAAGTCATGCTTTATAAGATTAGTTATCAAGGTTCTAATCTACTAAAATACAAATCAGAGAAATTACGCATCCCATGTTTTTAGTAGAAGAATAGTATTGTTGTGATGAAGCTAACACAAAAACTAGAGTATTAAAGCCAAGACCAGACTAAAGCACTACAGTGCTTACCTCTTGCAGGGCCTTAGAAAGGTCCTCCATTGTCAAAATTAGGCGTTTATCCTGTTATGGAGAAAAGTTAGAGAAGCAACCCAAAAAAAATAAAAAATAAAACAAGTGGTAAAATAAAGCACCTTTTGCTGCTTATCTCTTTTGTCCTTGACTACTGCTGACTGCCTTGCCTTGCATTGCCTTCATTGAGATGCATGCATGTAAAACAGTAAAACATTCCTGGGCCATAAGCAAATCAAAAAATGACAAACTAAAGCTGCAAATATGGAAGTGTACTTTAAATCTATGTTACATGGATTCTTCAACAATGTTGAAAATTTGAAATAGCCATGTTGGACAAACAATATCCGGACATGCATATGAGATTTGCGTCCAACATGTCTACTTGGTTATGAATCTCGCAAACATAATTAACAATTCAAATTTATCATATAATTATGCGTAAAAGTCTCTTATTATGCTCCTTTTATTACATTATTGCTTCAAAATGAGTGAATTTCCTAGAAATAAAATAAAATTATTAAATAATATAAACTTTTTAGCTCATGTTTCCATATCCTTGAGTTTTGGATATTTGATAAATCCAACGCTTAAATACATACCCCATTACCCACAACCGACACACTTTTCAGAGTCCATGTAAGACAGTTTGAATAATAATCTAACTCATCAAAAAAAAAAAGAAGGTTTGAATAGCAATCTCTAGGCTTTAACCAAGAACAACACAAAATCAACCCATATCTGCCTTATATATTTTATACGGCAGAATACGTGCAGTGACAATACCTTTGCCCAACTTATGCAATGTCTGAATATACATTAAAGGATGGGTTTGTGTGCGTGAAATGTAACCAGACCATACCCAAGGCTCTGAAACAAAGATGCATGTTGAAGGATTTACAAAGATGCATGTAACCAGACCATACCCTCTCTAACAGCTTAAGCTTTTGGAGTAGATCGTTGATAACATGATATCAGAGCCAAAGGTCTCGAGTTCAAACCTCACCGTCACCCTAATTAAAAAAAATTGAAAAACACGTGTTGGACCAAAAGAAGGCCACACGTGAGGGGGGGCATGTTGAAGAATTTATATATTTAAGTTACACCCTCTCTAACAGCTTAAGCTTTTGGAGTAGATGGTTGTTAACAAAGCGCAAGGTCCTCTGATCTAGACCTGAAGAGGGGGTTGAATAGGTCTTATAGACCAATTTGTTATTTTGTTTTTTATCAGTTTGTCATCAGATTGTGATAATCATGCAAACAGAAAAAAAATAAAGCAGTTACAGCAATAATAATGAACATCAGATTTTATTTGAGGCATTTCTTTAAGCTTCTTATCTTAAGTCGATGATGCCTGGTTTCCCTATCAAGGATGGTGCTCTCGCATCGGGGAGGGAGTCTCGGGTCAAGCATTGGGTAGAGCAGGTGAGCCAATCCCCAGCCTATTCCTATCAATGCTAGTGTTCTTCATTTTTGTCTTAACCGACTAAGAGTATATCCATGGCAAGCACAAGTACTCAAAAGGAAGGACCCTCCTCACACCGACCTCCATGGTTCGATGCCTACCAAGAGCTGATAACAGGTGGCACTTCATTAAATGAGGCTGTGAGAACTCCCATCTCAACCGTCCAAACTAGCTGTAACCATCCCTGACGTCTAGCATCATTATTGATCATAATGGGAAGGATCAAGTGGAACTTACGGAACCATGGACCATTACCATTGCTCCTGGGGGTCTTGTTACCATCACCATCAGTTCGGGCGGGCATGGCGCACGAAGCCCTCAGCAGGGAGAACAGAACCTGGCTTAACTCGTTGTTTGAATAGCTGTTGAATGTGTTGCCAACCCATACTGGCAATCTGACCATAGAACAACTGAACGACTTGATTACGGGGTGGTGTGCAACCTTTTACCAAACTAGGATTGATCACCCTCAATTCCGTAAGCCGTATCCTGAGTGGATTGACACGCTCAAACAAAGATTAAAAAATCACAGGGCCTAGTCCGGCAGATGTACAATCGAGGTCATTGCTCAGTATGATCGAACTTCTAGTTGATGTCTACATGCAGTAAACACCAAACCTTCAGTACAGTTGAAGATCTTCAGGTCGTCTACTGATGTGTGATCTTGCTTCTTTAGTGATTAATTCTCTGCCACTAGTTAGTCCGGATGAGAATCAAGTAGATTGCTCTGACAGTGTTGAATAATGTTAAATGGCGCAGCAGTGAATGTATCAATACCAGTATGCAACAAGTCACCATGCTAAGATAAATGATGAATCATGAATGTTGAAAACAAAAACAATGCACGTTTTCTCTCACAAGAGAACACTCAAATAGATATGTAATATATGAAGAACGTGAAGTTTGATCTTGTTTATAAAAATAAACTAAGTGTTTAAGCTTTTAAAGAGTATGAATAAATAATGGAAAAGCTTTGTAAAACATGTCTAGGGTTTTCAGAAATCATCTCTATTTATAAGCAGAGGATGGGCCTTGGTGCAATGGCATGGTTGCTCTGTTGTAACCAGAAAGTCACGGGTTCAAAACAGATTGCCTCTCCGTATACTCAGGTAAGTATGCGTATATCAAACCCTCCCCAAACCCCTTCATCTGTCTTTGTAAGCAACTAGAAAAGTAGTTAAATAAGCTCAAAACTCTGCAGTAAAATTTAAACAGGATTATGAGTTCACAAGTCGATTGATCGAAACAACATAATTCCTTGATTGATCGACATAGCACCAGTGATCAATCGACACAGCACTAACGTGCATTGATCAATATAACAGAGATCCTCGATTGATCGACAAGTCCTTTACAGTGATATTAAGAAGAAAAATAGTTTTGGTTTCATCAATTCTTAAAATTTTAAAAACCATATTTTGAATTCCAAATTAGTTTATAAATTTTTGATAAATATAAATGCATGAGCCTAATTTGGTGGGAGTGCATCATTGTGTGAATGTACCTTTTAACCCTTCATTGATAAAATTGACATTTTAACCTTTGTAGAAGCTCCTCCTGATGGAGAAGGAGCTATGATTTTCATGGATGAGCAACATGTTTTCCGCCTCTACTTTAGAAGAAAGGGTAAAGATAGGTGAAATTAGGGATTTGATGCAATTAGGTTTTATTTTAATTGTTTTTGTTATTCTTGGCAATGTTCTATTTCTAGGGATATTTTAATATTTTAGGGTTTGTTTATGTGTTGCCTATATAAAGGCTCATATGTAATCAGACAATTTAGTTAGGGGATTATTGAATTATAACGTGAGTTTGCGAACTCTTCCTATGTGCCTCTTTCTCCCTCACTATTCTTGCTTTCTCAATCCCTCTGTCTCTCTAGCCTATCCCGTTCACTCTATTTCCTCATCCCCTTATCTGTCTTCCCAACTCTTTCTTCTAGTCTAATCTCATCTTCTCTCTCTCATCCCCTTCTTTCTTTCTGGTTACTTGTCTTGCGTCAATTGGTATCAAAGAACTATTTGTTCTACGTCAACTATTATCATAGCGAAAGATCCAAGTCAAAGCAAAGTATCCAAGCAACTATTGATCACAACCATCAAATCACCATAGCCAAAAAAAAAAACACAAACACATCTACCCTATCTACCCTACTGTGGGGCAAGGTGACCAAGGCGGTTGCCTAGGGCCTCAAATTTAGGATCATAGTGCAAATATAGTAGTACATGTCTGACATTCAGGCCATAATTTCCATAATTAAAAGACAATACATACTTATATAACATGTAAATTTATGGCAATAAATAACTTTAAAATATATATTAAAAAATTTATGGCAATAAACACACATACTTATAATATCAATTTATATATGTTATACAATAATTGGTATGGTAACAATAATTTGTTTTATCCCCTCCCTTTAAATGAAAAAAAGATTTTTTTCAGAAACTGGTTTATTTTATTATTATATTATTTTTGGGCTCATGTGCATGCATAGCAGGCTTTGTTAAGCCCAGTCCAAACAATAAAATTTTTAACTCATGGGTGTAATCAACTGTCACATTTTCCAAAATAACCTTGTAAGGTCTCCTAAAATATGAATTGGTTTATGATATTGATGGGACATAATTATTTTCAGAGTTACAAGTCTTAGAAGAAATTTTACCAAAAGGAACAAAAAAAGCAATTAAAGTATTTGATTTTATAAAAAGGTTAAGTAATTATTTTCCTAATGCTTGGATTGCATATAGAGTATTATTGACTATCCCAATTACAGTTGCATCAGCTAAGAGAAGTTTTCAAAGTTGAAGTTGATCAAATCTTACCTACAGTCAACGATGGCATAAGATCTAGAGATTAAATGAATTGGCTATGATATCTATTGAAAAAGTTATGTTGGAGAAACTTGATTGGAATATTTTAATTGATAATTTTGTAGCTCAAAATGCAAGACGATCACATTTACTTTGATATGAAGTTGAATTTTGATTTTTCTGACTAAATTGTGTTGAATATTTCTTTTAATTTTTTGATGTAAACTGTATCGTGCTATTTATAAAGCACCAAGACCGAGTTTTGTTTTGTGTGTTTTCAACAGTAATATATTTTATATGTTTATCATCTTATTTTAATGAAAATTCCAGACTCTTATACATTTTTTGCACGTGTGAAACCTTATAAAGGGCCTCAAATTTGAAAGTTCGCCTAGGGCCTCTCAAAATTTTGGGAATCTCAAGGCCGGCCCTGCCTACTGTTACTGTTCATCCAACCAAAACCATTTCAGTCACTAAACCAAGACCACTGAAACTTTCACCCAACAAAAATAACACATCTACTTTTTCCACGATCTAAACACCGTTCATGCACAACCCAGACCTTATTGTTCAACCACCACCCAACCAACAACCCCGGACTGAAACCGCTCACCCCTGCCCCTGTCCTTGTCACTCTCAGCAACTCAATCACAGAATCCATACCCATACCTTAGCACCCGTTCCAACATCAACCCTAAACCCACCCAAGCCAAAAAAAAAAAAAAAAACAGATACACGCTTCCCGTCCTCACCATCGGAAATCCTTGTGTGAGTGTCTTCATCAACAACAGTAGTCGCTGGAAAACAATCACCATCATGTCGCAGTCGTCTAACCAGAGTTTTCTCTGCCCTGCCAGAGTTTTTAGGGTGTTACCGTCATTGGCAGATTTGGAGACCATAGTTGTTAAAGGCTCAAGGCGCACTAAGGCGCCAAATGCCTTCTGGAGCCTAAGCGCAAGGCGCAGTATAAGACGCGAGCCTTATACTCATAATAATGCATATTTAAACATATATTATATTCATAATCAAGTAGTAATTGCATTTAATGTAAGTAGTGAACCATAAATTTGTCAAGTATTTCAGAAGGTTAAACAATAAGATATATGATATTTTTTTTTTTGATAAGTATATATGATATAGAAACTTTTAATTTACTAGTCATCAAGTAAAAAAGAAAATGATTAAAAAATACAAAGTGCGCCATTTTTTTAGCCTGGAGCCTACTAAAAAGTGTGAACCTAAGGTCTTTATGTGAGCCTGATTGAAGGGGCCTGGCCCGTGGTAGGTTGGGGCGCTCTAGCTGAGCCTTGACGAGCCTGGGGCTTTTTTGGAGCCTAGGCACGCCTTTAACAACTATGCTGGAGATTACCCCCTGAAGTCCTTCCACCATCACATCATCCAAGCCATGTGTCATCCGAAAAACCCTCGAGAACGATTTGGGAAAGGCTACCACAGTTGGTTTGTTAATTTTATAACCCAAAGTCAATCCGACCCAACTTGGTTCAACCCGAATCGGTTGAAAAAACAGCCCAGTTGACCAGCTTTTTTGTTGGGCCTGTTCCAGTATTGCTCCAGCCCAAACCATATTGCTAATCCAATTACAATCCACGAAGCAACACTTTATCTAACAGGCCGCAAACCACTTAGCCAAGTCTCAAATTGCTTCAAAGAAGACCTGTTTGGATACAATTGCACCCAGCCCAGTTTAGTTCAGAAAATTCAGTAGTGTTCAGAAGTAGACCCCCCCCCCCCCCCCCCCCCCCTCTCCAAAAAAAAAAAAATCAGAAACATTTTGGAGCAGAATTTCTCTGTCATACGACTTGCAGAGCCACTTCCAAGCATTTACTCTTTTGGACACTCAAAGAAGACCTGTTTGGAAACCCAGCCCAGTTTCAGAGCCACAACAGCATAGTTCAGCCAATTCAGTAGTGTTCAGCAGTAGACCGACCCCACAAAAAAAAATAAAAAAAATAAAAATCAGACATTTTTGGAGCAGGATTTCTCTCTCATACGTCTTACAGAGTCACTTCCAAGCATTTACTCATTTGGATACTCAAATCGGACTTGGTAAAGGTACTAGTAGTTCACTTGAGACTTGAAATTAGTACTTTTATCTGTTGGTAAGTCCATAAAATTTGCAAAAGGTCCTTACTTAGAACTAGAAACATTGTTTGTGTTGGTTGACCTTCTCTTGCACTGTTTTCCGGTTCTGCCATCACAGTACTACACCCAATTTCCACCTTTTGCATCAGCTCTCATGCACTAGTTTGTAATATTCACATGACTTCCTTTATTTGCATTTTTGTTTCTAGGTGAGCATTGCAAAAATTTATAATTTTGTTTACTTAATCTAGTTTGAGTCCTATATCGGCATTATATCCCTAACAAATGAGAGCAACCAAGTTTAGGGAATGTCGAGCCAATAACCTTATGAGGTCTTCAGTTGTTCAACCTCATCGAGTCTTAGAATGTAGGTTTCCACCAGGACCACCACCTAAGTACTCAGATGTCTTGAATACAATTGGGCCATTCTGTAGTCATATGAGAAATTGGAAAGAAGACGAGACTCACAGTAATGTCTTGACATGCATTCTATCTCTTTTCCTAAGAAAAAATGATTGGAAGCATACCAACATATTTTGCACATTTCTCAATGGTATGGAAAAAGTGTGTCAAATCACCATTAACAGAGGAAGTTTGATAAATGCAGTGTCCAGATCAGGTGTTCTTAGAATGAGGCTTCAACCCAAGCCTCGCCCACAACCATATAAGATAGTCTGGGTCAATGGGACTTCCTTGACCGACATAGAGAGATGTTTGGTTCTCATCCAAATGGGTGATGCCCATGTAAAACTTGGCTGCCCTTGGATTAATCATGTTGGTGCGATCCATTATACTAGAGACAATAATTGCTTCAAGTGCAATCCTAAAACTATCACGCTAGAGCCCGTCTGGGATTGCTTTTTAACTGCTTAAAAGCTCTTCTATTTTAAAATTTGTGTTTGGGCGTGTTTGGTTACTTTGGTAACCATTAAAAGTGCTTTTAATGGTTACCAATCTTAGCTCAGTAGAGCTTTGAATGAGCTTTTTAAATTGGATTCTGAGTATATGTTGTATATTTTAGGTAACTATTTTTACTTGGACAATTTTATCCTTTTTGATTTTTTTATAAAGACAATCTCAGCCCTTCTTTTATAAAGTTGTTATTATCAACTATGGTAACATATATCAATGGATATTTTTGTAAAATTAGCAATAAAAGTGTATAAAAAATATTGTTACCAAATAAATTTAAAAATAATTTAATTATAAAAATACTTATTATAATATACCACCAAACACCTAACATGTTTTTCACCAAACGCAATTTTGTTGACAGCCGTAGTGACAAAAGCTCTTCTTTTATTCTAACAGCAATGCCGAACGGGCTGTTAGTCAAAGAAGTGGCTGAGGAAGCTTACCATGTTCAACCTAAGGCATTTCACCGAAATATAACAAGTGAGAGAGTCATTAAAAAGAGGGTTAAATCAAGATAGTCTTGCATATATTGTTACTCTTGTTACCCACTTCCATTGTGTCCAATGGGTATGTTAAGTACAAAAGCCATTTTTTAAAAACATTTTCGACATGTTTAGGCGCCAATTTGAAATTTTCCTCAAAAAAATTTCCTAAAATTAATAGGAAAATTGCGATTGTTAACCAAGGTCTCAGAAAGTTGGTTAGTTATTTTGTAATAGAGCGCCTTGACACCTGGGACTTGTTGTTATCTATCATGGAGTTTGCATATAATAGCTTGGTCAATTCGTTTGCTGGAAGTTGTTCCTTAGGGATTCTATCTGGGTTTCCTTCGCAAACCCATCGACTTTATTATGTTCCCTCCACATTCTTGTTCATTAAAAATTTCTGAATCCTTTGTCCAGCTTGTGCATGAGTTCATGCCAATATGAGACGAAAAATTGTTCTGAGTAATAGAAATTATGAATTTATTGCATATCCTCATATTAGGAATCAGGAATTCATTAAAGGAGATTACATTCTAATTCGTGTACCACCACAACCTTATTTTTTTGTTACTCCTTTAAGGCATTTCGAGCCCAAGTCACTCGATACCTCCACATCACTCATAATTCCGAACCTAATGCATATTTGTTTTGACTTGCCATCAGATAATAGTATTAATCCAAAATTTTCAAGTGGAGTATTTGTCACCTAACCAAGGCATCTTTGAGCCGCCTATGTTGTTAGCTTGTGTTCTTACAGGTGGAGCTATATTTTCTTCAACACGAGCACTTCTCCTAACATGTTAGCCATGGTATGTGGATTGGGTGAAGGATGTTATTGACAGTCAAAAGTGATTCACAATGGAAGTATTATCCAGCTTCAGATGTCACATGCAATACCAATGAGTTTTACCATGTTGATCCGAGCTTTTTAGAGCATTACTTTCCACTTAAATCTTCGGAGAAGAGTTCTTCTCAGCAGAGGAGAATTGATGGAGGAGCTATGATTTTCATGGATGAGCCACACGTGTTCATCCCCTTCTTTCTTTCTGGTTACTACTTGTCCTGCATCACATCCTTATCATGGAGGTAATTCTCACTCAACTCACAACTAGAACAAAACTATTTAACTAAAAATAAACTAAAATTACATTGAACATGTTTTGATCTACAAAATTTGCGAACCTAGTCCTATGGACCTAACATTACAATCAGCAAGTTGGGTTGAGGCGCGGTTCTTATAATTGATATACTCAAGTGGCAGCCAAACCATCTATTTTGCGTGTCTTAGACAAATAGCTATGATTGCATTTCAGAACAGGAGCACGATTTCTATCTCAAATCAAATATATAGCGGTCACTCTTCCATTTATCCCACCGTCCCAAGCCCACTTTCTTCTCTCAACACTCTATTAAAATACCTAAATACTTCCTAAATTCCATGCACTTCTTTTTCTAAAAGATTTTTTTTGTTTTTGAAATCCATGCACATACCCATTGGGTAAAAAAAATTAGACAAGATGGTATTGAACATAAGTAGAAGAATTCAGAAACATACTGAAGAGCATCACTTGCAACCTCTGCAATAAATTTCTGAGTAGCAACAGATACCAACCTAATTCTGCAAAAATCAAAGACACTGTCAATGCAATATCATGAGATACACATGTGAAGAACAAAGAAGAATAACATACAAATTGCAATGAGTTTGTAAAATTAGAGAACGTATGACCTCTAAAGGGAACTGATTTCAAGTTCTGAATGCATAAACAAGTTTAAAGTCAACAGTCAGAAACAAAAACTATTAATTATTAGCTAATTAAAATTGATAAATAAGAAAAAATAAATTATTAGACATATTAATCAAGTTTCCTCATCAATTCTACACAATATATCTTGTATATTTGCATATCTTCTGTTACATATGTTTAGACTTAATTATAGGCTAGCTTACATTTAGCATTAGATTTAGGCTAGCCTTTTTATGGAACACACATATAAACACCCCTATTGGGATGAATACAGTTGTGTTGAATTTTTCCAATTCTTTTTACTTTCACGTGGTATCAAAGGGTCTCACGACCCTATAGTCTCTTCCGCTTCTTCTTCTTTTTTCTTCCTTACATTTTTTTAGTAGAGGTCTTGTCTCCTCCGCCGTGAGATCACTTCAACATGTCCCTTTGTGTTGAGGTGCCCCTTATTCAACCGCTTCTGGTGTCACGTCATGTTTGTGTTGAGGCTTCACTGTTATCACGTCATGTCTTCCTGTTCTAGCAACTCTGGCGATACAGATTACGACATCTACATCGACAACAATTACGGCGTTGGGCACCTCATTCTCAATCCCCAACATCAACAATTTGGTGACTATGAGGTTAACTGACTCAAATTACCTCCTTTGGTGCTCTCAGGCCAAGCCCTTTTTGGTTGGCCAGAATTTTTAGCGCTTTGTTGATGGCACCTATCTTGTGCCTCGGAATTCCTCACGACAACTGTTGGCCAATACGAAGTACAAAACCCGTGATACTTGTCTTGGCTTCGCACTAATCAAACACTCAGTCTTCTCAATGCCACCTTCTCTAAAGCCCATTCTGGGAATGGATGTTCGCCTCCACAGTTCACAGGATGTTTGGACCTGCTTTGAGCGACACTTCTTTGAGCAATCTGTTGCTAATACTGTCTCCTGTCTCTCACCAACGAGAACCATTCCATCTCTGACTATCTCTTATATGCCAAGTCCCTAGCAGATTACTTGGCTTCTATTGGTCAACCCGTATCCACCGATGATTTAGTCGCTTATGTTCTTTGGGGCTTGGGTACATGTTATGAGATGATTGTGACAGCTACTCTGCATTTTCCACCGTTGCCTTCATTTCAAGACCTTTGGGCTCGGCTACTGTCCTTCGAGGCTCAAACTTCTACTCCTACCCCGCCTCGTCATACTACATTTCTGGCTCAACAGTATTTTGTTCCTCCTGAGTTTTCTCCTACACCTCCTACTCCAAGACATGGCAATAATACTAGCAATCAAGGTGGCAACCATAGGAATCGAAGTTGCAACCGGGGTCGCAACAACAACATCAATCGTGGCTCGGGTCAAGGTTCTACTGGCATTTCTGGTTCCCTTTGTCAGTTGTGCAATGGTACTGGACATATTGCCAGACGAGTACACTAATGGGTCAACTGACAAAGTACTCCAGTCCTCATTGGTGTACTCATCTGACTGCTGATTCTCTACCTATTGCCTTTGCTGGTCTTCAATTGACTTAGCCATCTCCTTTGTCACCATTCTGTATGTAGAGTTATCAGCAGCAAGTTTTACCACAGCCCTTCAGCCACCATACTCGAATTATCAGCTAGCTACTGCTCATAAACCAAATTAGAACCCAGACACTGGTGCTACCCATCACATGACTGGTGATCCCCTCACCCTTTGCAGAATCATACCCCTTACATTGAATCAAATACATTTTATCTTGGCAATGGTCCTCACCTCCCTATCACTTATACGGGTAACATGTCTCTTCCTCTTGCTTCTTCTTGCTTGCAGATTAACAATGTCTGTCATGTTCCTGCTATGCATAAGAACCTACTTTTTGTTGCCCAATTCACTCGAGATAATAACGTTAGTCTTTCCTTTGATGCACAAAGATTTTACATTCATGACCTAATGTCTGGTGCTCTTTTGTTTCAAGGCCTATGCAGGAATGGTCTTTATCATTTGTCGTCTATCTAGCCAGTTCCCCGGGTTTTTGCTGCTACCAGCCTGCCTTCCTCCATTTGGCACAATCACCTAGGTCATCCATCTCACAAAGTCATGCCTTACTTAGGCTCAAATAAATTGCTATCTTCTAATTTTCATTTTTCTAAATCTTTTTGTAAGGGATGTGCATAGGGTAAATCCACACATCACCCTTTTTCACCGAGTAATGAAATTAGTGCCTTCACTCCTTTTGATCTGATGCATTTTGATGTATGGAAATCTTCAGTTACTTTTGTTTCTGAATTTAAACGCTGTCTTATTCACTGATGATTTCACACATTACACTTGGCTTTATCCCATGTGTAGAAAATCAGAAGTTCAAAATGATGGGGGTACAGAATATCCCTAACTCAAAACCTGATGTGTTTAGAAAATTCATCCCAACCTTTCCAAATGAATTTCCAAACCTAACACCACCTGAGATCCTCACCTCAAGATAACACCATCCGCCAAAATCCTCCCCAAATCTACTCAATATCACCCTCCTCCATAAACAATGTCTCTCCACCCCAAATCTCCAAAGCCCACTTCCCCAAGAGAGCCTTATTGAAAGGCTTCTGATACCCAACCCGCCCTTTCGAATCGGACTACACACCTGCTCCCAGTTGACCAAATGATATTTAAACTCCTCCCCCTTCCCTCCCCATAGAAGGTTCTGCTGCAACTTATCAATCCTCTCAACCACAAAAGAAGGAATCTGAAAAAGGGATAGGAAATAAGTAGAAAGACTCGACAACGTGCTCTTTATCAAAGTAACCCTTCCCCCCTTTGAAAGATACTATTTCTTCCAGCTTGCCAGCCTCATCTCAAACCTCTCCACCACGGGATCCCAAATTCCCACTCTCCTTGATGGCGCCCCAAGAGGTAGGCCCAGATAAGAAATGGGAAAGAACCAGTGCAACAGCCCAAATTGTTCGAAACGGTATCAATCTCAAGAACCTCCCCCACTGGAACCAAAACACTCTTTCCCACATTCACCTTTAACCCGGAAACAACTTGAAAACATATTAGAATGCATCTCAAAAATCTCATCTGAGACATATCAGCATCACAAAAAACAAACGTGTCAACAACAAACATCAAATGGGAGATCTTAAGCTGAGAAGGAACATCTCTCCCCACCCAGAAGCCACGCAAAAAAACCCGGATCCAATTAAAGCTCCATTCACAAATCACAAGGATCGAGAATCTAACACTTGAGATACAAAACTCAATCCATCTCCTCCATTTCTCTCCAAAGCCCATCCACTCCATCAAATAAAGAAGGAAACTCTAACTGACATGATCATAGGCATTCTAAATGTCCAACTTGCATAAAGCCCTAGGAACCCCACTGCACAATCGATAATCAACACACTCGCCCGCAACAAGGACTGAATCAAGAATCTACAAGCCTCCCACGAAAGTGTTTTGGGAATCTGAAATAACCCTATCCAAAACGTCTCTCAGTCTCGAAGCAAGAACTTTAGCAATTAATTTATAGATACATCCCACCAGACTAATGGGTCTAAAATCCTTTACGTCAAACGCACCCCCTAACAACATCCCAGCTGTGAAGAAGGAATCTCATAGTAAAACTGTCAAGACCAGGGGCTTTATCCCCATTGCAGCCTTTCAACGCCGCACTATGACGTTTCACATTTTTGCGGTATTTTCTTCTTTTCTTATTTTTTACGTGTTTATTTTCTTTATGCATCGGTTTGTGTGCCGGGTGGGTCCCGGGGTTTGATTTGAGCATTTCTTTGAATTTAGAACTCTTAGAAATGTATTACGGGTTGTTTTATCATTTTTCGAATTTTTGAGCCGAAGCGTTCTATGTGGGCCCCACGCCCGGATTTGCGTGCTCAGGAATTTTCCGGACACCATTAGCATCATACAAGTTCCATTATTTGGTGCATTATATGTATATATGTGAATAAATGCAAGTTTGTGGCACGACAGTAGTATGTTGCACATGGAAGGGGTAGGTTAGTACTTTTGGTGGTCAAAGGTGAAGCCCACAAGTTGATCACACATGTGACTAAGGGAAGCAAACATCAGATTTTGCTCATTTCTTCCTCCCCCATACAACCATTTCTTTTTTTTTCTCTCTCTCTCTCTGTCTCTCTACAAACACACAAACCTACAACCAAAAACCCTTGATTTCATCTACCTATACTCAAAATTAGCCAAAGCCATAGGTAGCAAACTTGACGAGCTCATCAAGGGCTTTCATTTGGCACCGGTTTTGCAAGGGCTTGTGGAGAATCCAAAATTCAAAGAGGGATGGGGTTTGACCTTCATTAAGGTAAAGTATGTGTTTCCCCTTTGCAAGCATGTTAATTTGATGGTGATTGTGTAGTTTGGTTCCTAGGGTTTGCTATATATCAAAGTTCCGCATGGAGGGATGTTGTGGCCAATTCTGACCATTCATTTGACAGGCGACCCTCTGGATTAGCCATGTGTATTGTACTCTTGCCCACTTCAGTCCTTTACCCCGAAAAACTCCAGCCACGGGTTGCCCCATGACTACCTTGTTTCAAACTATGAAAGACGGGGCAAGGCCCCTTCTACTATTAAAGCGGGAGTGCGAAATTGATTCCATGCTCTCTTTGTGAATAATTTATGAATATCATGCTATCCAATTTGCTACATTTTGAATGTCATGAGCTAATTACTGTATGTTTTTCTATAAAATTGATATGAGATATGTTTAGCACGTCATGTGTTTGTCTAACTGTCTATGTCAATTTCCTCTTGTCAATTGTATGCAAAAAAATAAACATGTTTATTACCTCATGTATGTTTGTATATTGATGATGGATAGTATGGTTACTTCAAGTATGGTGTATTTCATCCTCATAGCATCTCCCATATCA